ATACATCCAAATTACGATGCAACCCCTCGTGTATATAACAGCAAGGGTAAGCAACAAATGACGACGTAATGGAGCTCAACCACATGCATGCAACGGAGATAGAATACTCGCAACACTCAGCCAAATGTATGCAAGTAGTGTTAACCACTCATAGAGCTAAGTATGACACGGACACTGGGCTGAACCGGACATAAAAAGGTCGCACAACTCATAAACAAACAGTCGGGAGTGGGGGCAGGAGGGAAGGACGATGGAAATCGGGCCAAACAAATGCCAGGTCCCCGCCTAATGGCATGAGGTGTGCAGGTAGCACTTGTCTGACAATCATCGAATCCTGAGTGAGGAGGGTAAACTGCGTTTGAATTATTTTGCTCTTTGCACAGAGCGTATTTTGTGGAATTTGGCCGCTTGGCCAATTTTCCGGTCTTCAAGACCGATCACACACATTGTAATTGATAATAATAGAAACACTGAAACTCTTAATCCTGCCAAAAGCGCATTTTATTGCTCCCATGATATATAATACATAAGGCAAAATTAATGTACCCATGGGGGTAACACAATGAATCTTTTCAGTGGGCGACCTGTGGAATGTCCGGGTGGGGAATTGAAAAGTGCAACAACTCAAAACACAATCGACAAATCTGAAGGAAATTGAACTAAATTTAATGAATGAAGGATACAATCCTTCTTCGTTGGGAGACACCTGAGGAAAGGTTCGCACATCCGCCAAGTAGACTGAGACCATTGAGTGGTGACAATACAATTGGGCCTGATTCCAGTGAGGGGCAATAAAGTGCAACACGTCTCTAAGAATAGCGCCACAGTAGTGGTGAGGTTCCACATCCGCCAAATAGATTGGGTGGTGACAATACAGTTGGGCCCGAATTGGTTCAAACGCACCGCTCATAACAGTGAAGGATTGATTCTTTTCTTTATTTCTGTGATTTTAGCTCATGTCTTTTTAGTGCTTAAGAAAAAACAATTTGAGAAAGTATAGATTGCGGAACTGAACTTTTACCCGCTTGATCACAAAATCCAGATCTACTCAGGTCTTTTATTATATCAGAGATAGGTGCTTCCATTGTAATATTGTTTTTTCCAAGATTGATAAGTGTAGACAAGAATTTCACTTTATCGTCAAGCTCTATCTTCGAGGATATTCTCAAATTAATACAAATATGATCATGCATGGGACACGGGAAATCCTAAGTGAATTTGCAAGGACCACCTCGTAAGGCTAAATACTCCTGGGTAACCGATAGCGAAAAAGTACCGTGAGGGAAAGGTGAAAAGAACCCCCATAGGGGAGTGAAAGAAAACATGAAACCGTAGCCCGTAGGCCTTCAAGCAGTGGGAGGAGAATTGTATCTTTGACCGCGTGCTTGTTGAAGAATGAGCCGGCGACTCATAGGCAGTGGCTTGGTTAAGGGAAATTATCCACCGGAGCCATAGCGAAAGCAAGTCTTTTTAAGGCTATTGTCATTGTCTATGGACCTGAACGAACGCGGGTGATCTAACCATTTACTACCCCAAAACCCGGGGACGCGTGCCAAAGGGCTCGCAAGAGCCGGGTCCCCGACCGAAGGCGCCGAAGGCGTCGTTTGAGTCTCTTTGAATTTCAAAAGATTTCATAACGATCGCTATTTTCGCAGTCATTTGTTCAAGTGTGTTTTTGATCGAGAGCTTACTGGTTTATCATATGATGTATTTGGTACTCCTCGTCCAAACAAATATTTTACAGAGAACAAACAAGAAGTACCTTTAATTATAGATCATTGTAACTCTCTAGAGAAAATAAAGTCTGTCTCTTATACACATCTAGATGTGTATAAGAGACAGGTTTTTGATCGAGAGCTTACTGGTTTAGCATATGATGTATTTGGTACTCCTCGTCCAAACAAATATTTTACAGAGAACAAACAAGAAGTACCTTTAATTATAGATCATTGTAACTCTCTAGAGAAAATAAAGTCATATACAAAATCAATTTAGGAGAACAAAAGTGACTATCGATAAAACTTAAGATGCGTGCACGAAAAACAATTTTTGATATCACAAGCTTGAAAAAACTTATACTACCTTCTTAACAAAAAAAAAACTTACGTACGTTCTATTCGAATTACCTTTGGAAACCGGGTTTTCAGAAATCGCTTGTTTTTCCCCGAATAGAACGTACGTTCGAATATAACGTACGTACGTTGTATTCGAATACAACGTACATATGTTGTATTCAAAAATTTTGGAACTTCGATTTTTCAAAACTAATTAAAAAAATCCAAAAAAAAAAAAAATGTTATACAAAAATGCAATACAAACAACGTTTGCCAGAAGGTCTTATCGAAATTCACGAGAAAATTCGAGAAAAAAATAAAAACGAGGATGAAAATGTTTTTTACTGTTTTTTTCAAAGTTTCGATTAAAAGAAAAAACTTCAGTAAAAAGTCCGAAAAAAACATATGTTGTACAACATTGCAATGCAACCAACTTTTGTCTGAGGGTCTTGACGAAATTCCCAACCAAATTTGAGATAAAAATAAAAACAATGGCGGTACTACAACCTTCTGAAAAGTTGTACCCTAAAACTCGTTCTATAACGTACATACGTTGTATTCGTAATTTCGTATACAAGGTACATACGTTTTTTTGGGGTTAAAAAGGTAGTTATAAATGAGTAAAGACATATATACATATATATCTATTTGACGATATATATATTTCTTATACAATATAATCTATTTCTTAGTAAAGTGAATATTTCATTTTCTTCTTCTTTTTTTACCTACTTCAGAGTGCAACACATCTTAGCGGATAGCGCTACACTAGCCATGTATGCCCTGGACCTCTCGGGCGCCGGATGGGCGAGGCTTCAAAAGGATGAAAATTACGACGGACTCACACCAGTAGAGGGAAGAAAGAGTTTGCATGGAGGAGGAAAAGGAGTGAAGAAAGAAGTTAGCGCAAAGCAGGCAGGCGAGAAGCTAGCTCGTGGCGAGAAGCTAGCTCGCGGCGAGAAGCTAGCTCACGTGTATGCAAATTCAAGCTGCTGCCCCTTCCTTCAGTCTCATGTAACGTTGACAAACATGAGCAAAACCAAAATTGGGGAGCTGAGGGGAGGGAGGGGCTTTTACCCTTCCCCCAACCTCCAGGCTGTTTCAATCTCGTGCCTTTAAACTACCAGTACCTTTCCCATATATCGGCCGCTGGCAAGAAAGAGGGCCCAAAACGAAAAACGGGCTGCCTACGAAATTTATCAAGGGCGCCCCTTTCCCTCTTGGCTTCCATGGCCCGGTTAAACCAACCAGTACTTGGTCCATCACTATCAATGCCGAGCCTCGAAACTTCCTGTGCTCCAAGTTTCGCCGAACCGCCAGCGCACCGTTTTTCTTTTTGTTTTGGCTGGCGCCTCTAGCCTTTGTGGTCCGGTACCCCGAAGCGCGCAGGTGGCAGCGTGCAAAGGTACCCCAAAGCGCGCAGGTAACTTCCTGCGCGCCAAGTTTCGCCGAACCGCCAGCGCACTGTTTTTCTTTCTGTTTTGGCTGGTGGCGCCTCCAGCCTTTGTGGTCCGGTACCCCGAAGTGCGCAGGTGGCAGCGTGCAAAGGTGCCCCCAAGAGCGCAGGTGGCGGCGTGCAAAGACCCGCGGCGGATAGCTGGGCCAAGGCGGATAGCTGGGCCAATTGAACTTTTCCTTCTCAGCCTTTTCTGATGCGGGCAGCCACCTCCAAGCTGGTAGATCCGAGCGTGGGCCCCTTAGACATTATCAAGCTGGTAGATCCGAGCGTGGGTCCCTTAGGCATTATCAAGCTTACTATGGGTGGGTGTACGTGGGGTTGTGAAAATCGGTCGTACGTACGCACCTACGCACGCGGGTACGCACACACACGCAGTGTTCTCACATGTATGCACGAAGGTTAGGTTCTAAGAGCACCAGCGCACAGACGCACGCGAGCACACACAGACACACAAACAAGAAGCAACAGACAGGGAAACAAGCAGATGTACACACACTTTCTGCATGATGAGTTGGTGACAATCCGACGACATAGTCGTTCGTAGGGTCATTTTTGTTGTTGTGTCATTTATGAGATGTGAGACCTTTTATGTCCGGTTCATCCCAGTGTGTGTTACGTGCTTCGCTCTATCAGTGGTTAACACTACTTACATACATTTGTTTGAGCTCTGTGAGTATTCGATCACCATCGCATGCATGCGGTTGAGCTACGTCACGTCGTCGTTCGTTGCTTATCTCATAAACGACACAACAACAAAAATGACCCTACGAACGACTATGTCGTCGGATTGTCACCAACTCGTCATGCAGAAAGTGTCTGTGCATCTGCTTGTTTCCCTGTCTGTCGCTTCTTGTTTGTGTCTCTGTTATATATATGATGGGCTGCGTTGGAATACTGGGCTGAGCCGGACATAAAAGGTCTAGCACCTGGCAAATCACACAACTGTGGTGGCGATGATGATGATGATGATGATGATGATGATGATGATGACGTCAACCTCCCGCTGCATAGACAATTAGCGCACACACAGTCCTTCCCTCCTCAAGTTCCAACAACCCCCCTCTATCCGGGGAAAGGAACCCCCTAATGACTCCCCTAATGACCCCCCTAATGACCACCCTAAGGACCCCCCTAAGGCCTTTAAGTTACCGATTCCCACTACCATTGGATTGCACAAGAAGGACAGAGAATCGTGTGGTCATTTTCATTTGGCCATGACGTAACAGTTCTACTACAATCTTTCCCCCGATAGAACGTACGGTGGGTATAGCTGTACCGTCGTACCCCGAATAGAAGGTGCGGTCATTGTCGCCGCATCTGGACTGAAAGTTGGGCCAAATACGGATATAATGACCGTACGTTCTAGTCGGGGGAAGAGGGTAGGTGGCCGCAATTGACAGGTGTGAGGTGGGTGGCTCTCCAGACTCCTGATAGACTGAGAACTGGAGCGGGGAGGATCAGTATCTGCTTAAGTGTTGTGCCTGCGGCGTCGCGCTGCACCAGTCTCGGAAGCAAGCTTCAGTCAGTTGGCAGCTATGGCGGCCTCCATGGCGAATTCTCTCTCATCTTTTTCGGGCGGAACAGATGAAGTAGGATCTATGAACATGATGGCAGCAGCCTCTACAGCTAGATCGGCGACATCAATAAGCCAAAATGAACAAGAGATAAGCGACCACGAGCTGCAGGTGTTAGGCTTCCTTCGTTTCTTAAGGATGAAGAGGATGCAGCACGTGAGAGAGGTTAGCAGGCCGCTCCTTCAGACTATTCTTCTTCTTCTTTTGTCTTCTCAAATCCACTCTCTCCTGCACCTTTTCCCCCTTCAGAAAACCACCCTACTCTCCCATCAACTTCTCCCCTTTTCCCTCTTCTCACCTTCACTCCTTACGCATTTCCCTGACCCCTTTTGCTGGCTCCTCTGTGGTGGTCCCCCCCAAGGTAGAGTCCGTGCTATGTAGACACACAGAGAGTGCTACTAGTGTATCTGTACTGAGCAACAAACGCTCGAGCGGGCTACGTAGTCGCCTCCCCCGTCCTTCCTTCCTCATTTGGCCAGTCTCTCCTTGTCTCGCTCCTCTCTTCTCCTCGTTCAGCCATAGCTTTCTTTCTTCATCCAGCTATGGCGGACGGATCACCAGCTGCTTCGAGAAAGCCACGATGTATGTCTCAACGGTGGACGCTGGTGGGAGACCACCTGCAGTGCCCTTTTTTTTTTTTTTTTTTAAATAAACGCACAAACATAAGAAATTTCTACTCCGGAGTTTCTTGCATCGATTTTTTCTTGCATCGATTTGTGTTCTTCTTTCTTCCTTTCGTTTGTTGTCACAGACCGTTTTCGGAGAATAGAAGTGCGCTCAACTTGGCTGGTGAACCGATGATCCTCTCTTTTCCACAACCGACGAAAACCGAAGTCATCTCTACGAGTAGATCGTTCTTGGGGTCTAGTACTCTCTAGTACTCTCTCGATTCATGCGTGTCATCCTTGCGCAGGGACGATGCTAATCTTGTCTAGGGTCTCTGTATCGTTCCAATTTTAACGGATGTCTCGAAGGACGGGTCCCGTACTCTCTCCTTACTCTCCATCAAGCGCGCGGCTTCTCGTCGTCCCTCCCTCCTTCCCTCGCTCCTAACTGTAACTCTCTCACTCTCTCTTCTATCAGTCAGCAAGGCAACGTCAGTCGGCTGGTTGAAAGCTCTTTTCTGCTAACAATTGTTTCAGACCACGGACGTTCCCCCCCCCCCCCCCCCCCCCCCCCCCCCCCCCCCCCCCCCCCCCCCCCCTCTCTCTCTCTCTCTCTCTCTCTCTCTCTCTCTCTCTCTCTCTCTCTCTCTCTCTCTCTCTCTTTTCCTTCGCATAGAAGCACCCTCGTTGGCTCATCTGATCAGTCTTATCAATTGAGTACCACTGTTCCGCTTATCTCGTTCCCGCGCGCCCTTTGTCCATGTCCCTCTCTCCCTCTCTCCCTCTCTCCCTCTCCCTCCCACTTCCGCATCACAGCGGCAGGTTTTGTTGCGCCCCGCTCTTCTCCCATCTTTCTAAGCCGTCGCTCAGACACAGGCGTTGACGTGCCACGGCAGGGTACCTTGAGAGTCACAGTAGACCTCTGTCTACCGTCTTCAGGACCCAAATAGAACGCCCGGTCATTACATCTGTATCTAGACCGATATTGCTCCCCATACGGCTACAATGACCGGGCGTTCTTATTCGGGTGGAGATGGTAGAGAAGCCAACTCACTTCTGGGGTGGGGGTATGGGGTGGGGTGGGGTGGATACCATGACCGATATGGTTCCACTTTGTTACACAGCGTCATGCTTGGCTCTTGACGCGAAGGGTGCGGGTCCGATTCCGTGCCCAGTCACCCATGGGTACGAGGACGAGAAAACCACTGACCAGTACTCAGCCCGGTAACCAGCCTGGAAATCATACCGGGGGCTAAGTCCCACTACCGGTAGCCGAAGGGAACTTCCAACGTGGCCACAGTGGGGCCGTGAGATGTTCAGATCTGTGCCAGGAACCGGTTCGTACTGGACACCGAGTCTAAACCCCTGCTAGTGGAACTTCGCCCCAGGAATGTTATGCCCGTTGGGGGTAGACCCCATTGGTGGACGAGGGTCATGTGCTGGGTTGGGAGGTACTGTGCAAGAAATGTCATGTTTAGACTGGTGTTGTGCGTGTGTGCCACAGTGTGTGCGTGTGTGCGTGCCTGTGTGCGCATGCCTGTGTGTGTGTGTGTGTGTGTGTGTGTGTGTGTGTGTGTGTGTGTGTGTGTGTGTGTGTGTGTGTGTGTGTGTGGTGTCATATTCGTTATACACTCAAAAAAGCATGACTGTGCCAGACTGTTTCGTCGGAAATTCACCGGCTCATCAGGAGGTTGGAACCCCGACAGTCTGCCCAGGATTCATTTGACTGATGTATTAAGGACTTACCACATCGCCCAGAGTTAGCCATACCCCTGATAAAGTGGTCGACTTTACGTGCACCAACCTTGCATGCATGCGTGCGTGCGTGCGTGCGCGCGTGTGTGTGTGTGTGTGTGTGTGTGTGTGTGTGTGTGTGTGTGTATGAGAGAGAGAGAGAGAGAGAGAGAGAGAGAGAGAGAGAGAGAGAGAG